CTGTCAATTCCTCTGAGTATCTTATACGTTCCTATCATGTCCCCCCTCTCCCTTCTTCTTTCTAGTGTCGTAAGGCACAGTTCCCTCAGGCGCTCTTCATACCCCATCCCTCGTAGCTCTGGGACGAGTCTCGTTGCAAACCTCTGAACCTTTTCCAGTTTCATTATATGCTTCTTCAGATGGGGACTCCATGATGAGGCGGCATACTCTAAGACTGGCCTTACGTAGGCAGTGTAAAGCGCCCTAAATGCCTCCTTACTTAGGTTTCTGAATGATGTTCTAACTTTTGCCAGTGTAGAGTACGCTGCTGTCGTTATCCTATTAATATGTGCCTCAGGAGATAGATTAGGTGTTACGTCCACCCCCAGGTCTCTTTCACGCGTCGTTACAGGTAGGCTGTTCCCCTTCATTGTGTACTGTCCCTTTGGTCTCCTATCTCCTAGTCCCATTTCCATAACTTTACATTTGCTCGTGTTGAATTCTAGTAGCCATTTCTCTGACCATCTCTGCAATCTGTTCAGGTCCTCTTGGAGGATCCTGCAATCCTCATCTGTCACAACTCTTCTCATCAACTTTGCATCATCCGCAAACATCGACATGTAGGACTCTACGCCTGTAAACATGTCGTTAACATATACAAGAAATAGAATTGGTCCCAGCACCGATCCTTGTGGTACTCCACTTGTTACTGTTCGCCAGTCCGACTTCTCGCCCCTTACCGTAACTCTTTGGCTCCTTCCTGTTAGGTAGTTCCTTATCCATTCTAGGACCTTTCCCCCCACCCCCGCCTGCCTCTCGAGCTTGAACAGCAGTCTCATGTGCGGTACTGTATCAAAGGCTTTTTGGCAGTCCAGAAATATGCAGTCTGCCCAACCATCTCTGTCCTGTCTTATCCTCGTTATTTTATCATAGAATTCCAGAAGGTTTGTTAGGCACGATTTCCCTGTCCAGAACCCATGTTGATGTTTGTTCACAAACCTAATGTTCTCCAGGTGTGCAACCAGTCGTAGCCTAATTATTCTTTCCAGTATTTTACAGGGGATGCTTGTCAGTGATACAGGTCTGTAGTTAAGTGCCTCCTCCCTATCTCCTTTCTTGAAGATCGGCACGACATTTGCCTTCTTCCAGCAACTGGGCAATTCTCCTGACATAAGTGACTCATTAAAGATCATTGCCAGAGGCACGCTGAGGGCCTGTGCTGCTTCTTTTAGTATCCACGGTGATACTTTGTCTGGTCCAACTGCTTTAGTTGCATCTAGAGTTGTCAACTGTTTCATTACCTCCTCTGCTGTCACCTCTATATCTGATAGTCTTTCATCTAGGGTAACCCCTTCCAACAATGGGAGCTGCTCAGGCTCGGTAGTGAACACTCCATGGAAACTGGCATTCAGTGCCTCGCAGATTTCCTTGTCACTTTCAGTATATGCCCCCTCTGTCTTCCTTAGTCTTGTCACTTGGTCGTTCACCGACATTTTTCTTCTTATATGACTGTGTAGTAACTTAGGTTGTTTTTTCGCTTTGATTGCAATATCGTTCTCATAGTCCCTTTCCGATGTTCGTCTTATGTTAATGTAATCGTTCCTAGCTCTGTTGTATCTGCTTCTGTTGTCCTCTGTTCTTTGTCTTCTGTACTTCCTCCACTCCCGCCTGCTGGCCATTTTTGCTTCCTGACACTGTCTATTAAACCATGGGTTATTATATTCCTTATATGTGTGTGTGTGTCCTTATATATGTGTGTGTGTGTGTGTGTGTGTGTGTGTGTGTGTGTGTGTGTGTGTGTGTGTGTGTGTGTGTGTGAGTGTGTGTGAGTGTGTGTGAGTGTGTGTGTGTGTGTGTGTGTGTGAGTGTGTGTGAGTGTGTGTGTGTGTGTGAGTGTGTGTGTGTGAGTGTGTGTGTGTGAGTGTGCCCCCCACCCCGTATGGAGGTGTTTACCTTGCCTCGTCACCCGCCTCATGCTGGCCTCATATCCTCACAAACGACGGCTTGTTACACGTGCCAAACCAATTCCTTCAACGGTGGTTCAACAAGGCAGCTTCAAGGTCGTTCGCCCCGTATAAACACAGCATTCTTGTAGCGTTTGAGTTCGTCCTCACAGTCTTAGCTTTGGAGGCCTGGTCGACGACCGGGCCGCGGGGACGCTAAGCCCCGGAAGCACCTCAAGGTAGGAAGAGTTGAAGAGGGGGGGAGGGGGATGGTAGGAATGTGCTCTAAGGTTCTTCTGGGAACATTCAGGGAGAGAGTGGAACACATTTAGTCTGTCTCCTATCCCTTAACTAGACGAGGGGGCTTCACAACTGGCCTTCAGGTACCTGCTTGATGGGGTTCTGGGAGTTCTTCTACTCCCCAAGCCCGGCCCGAGGCCAGGCTCGACTTGTGAGAGTTTGGTCCACCAGGCTGTTGCTTGAAGCGGCCCGCAGGCCCACATACCCACCACAGCCCGGTTGGTCCGGTACTTCTTGGAGAAAACTATCTAGTTTTCTCTTGAAGATGTCCACGGTTGTTCCGGCAATATTTCTTATGCTCGCTGGGAGGACGTTGAACAACCGCGGACCTCTGATGTTTATACAGTGTTTTCTGATTGTGCCTATGGCATCCCTGCTCTTCACTGCTTCTATCCGTCTAGTGTCGTCTCATGTACTTTCCCCGTCAATCCCCCCCCCCACACACACACACGCGCGTGTGTGGGGGGGGGGGGGGGGCTTTCAAATGGGTACTTCGTAGTAACCAAATTAATATTAGCTGGCGGTCCTACGGTCACTGAAAATACTCCCTGTATACTTTCGTGGAGGCTATCCTCCCTGTATACGTCCGTGGCTTATAAACATTATATCACTATCAAGTGCTCTCTCGGGCTCACGAAATAGAGCTCTGATGATAAGGATTATTGTAACTCCAGCGAGGTGCGGGACCACGCGCCAGAGTGCTGGCTAATTGGTGTTGGACTTACGGCCCACATCACCCGCGGGAGAGTTACACAAGACCACCACTACACAGTACTTTAATACTCACCCCCCCCCACCCCCCCCACCCCCACCCACCCCAGTTATCTACCTCTTGAGTATACTGAAGAGTCCCGCAGGGGGTACAAAGCATCTACCCCTGGTGTGGGGTGCGTCGCGGGGGGCATATGCTGATGCTGCTGCTGTGTTGACCAGGTGGGTCTGCAGTGTGGAAATGGGTCAGCGTGTCATCGACCGGATTTGCGGGATTCCAGTTCCTGGAGTTTGGCGAGGGGGGGGGGAGGGGGAAGGAGGGAGGTGGGGTTACTGCTTAATCCACCGGTGGGATGGTTGTTTAACGCGTGTGGCGATGTTTATATTGGAAGTTGTGTGTACTTACCTCTTTAGTATGTGTGTGTGTGTACTCACCTAATTGTGCTTGCGGGGGTTGAGCTCTGGCTCTTTGGTCCCACCTCTCAACCGTCAATCAACTGGTGTACAGATTCCTGAGCCTATTGGGCTCTATCATATCTACATTTGAAACTGTGTATGGAGTCAGCCTCCACCACATCACTTCCTAATGCATTCCATTTACTAACTACTCTGACACTGAAAAAGTTCTTTCTAACGTCTCTGTGGCTCATTTGGGTACTCAGCTTCCACCTGTGTCCCCTTGTTCGCGTCCCACCAGTGTTGAATAGTTCATCCTTGTTTACCCGGTCGATTCCCCTGAGGATTTTGTAGGTTGTGATCATGTCCCCCCTTACTCTTCTGTCTTCCAGTGTCGTAAGGTGCATTTCCCGCAGCCTTTCCTCATAACTCATGCCTCTTAGTTCTGGGACTAGTCTAGTAGCATACCTTTGGACTTTTTCCAGCTTCGTCTTGTGCTTGACAAGGTACGGGCTCCATGCTGGGGTCGTGTGTGTGTGTGTGTGTGTGTGTGTGTGTGTGTGTGTGTGTGTGTGTGTGTGTGTGTGTGTGTGTGTGTGTGTGTGTGTGTGTGTGTGTGTGTGTGTGTGTGTGTGTGTGTGTGTGTGTGTGTGTGTGTGTGTGTGTGTGTGTGTGTGTGTGTGTGTGTATGGGGGTTTAGCCTGCACCGCCCGCATGCCTGGTGCTGTCTGCGGCTGAGGTAATGTCATCTCAATTTGACTCATTTTGATGTTCTTCTGACTGTATTCTCCCTCCTGAGCCCCGAGCCCCCTCCCCCCCCTCCTCTCACACCGCAGTGGGTGCGCGTGTGCTTGCGCGCTTGCATGTTTGTTATACAGAGGCCTGTCGACACTCACTCACTCACTCACTCACACTCTTAGAACTTAAATGAGCTCACGCTGACCTTAAAACGATTTTGTTCAGTGTCCAGAGTATTAAACAAATGGAATACATTAGGCAGTGATGTGGTGGAGGCTGACTCCATACACAGTTTCAAGTGTAGATATGATAGAGCCCAATAGGCTCAGGAACCTGTACACCAGTTGATTGACAGTTGAGAGGCGGGACCAAAGAGCCTTAAGTCCACCCCGCCCCCCCCCCCCCTTCAAGCACAACTAGCTGTGAGTAACAGTGCTAAACAACTAGAAGAACGTCTGGATTAAGCTAATAAATAAAATTCTGTATGTTGTTGTTGTTAAAGATTCGCTACCTGGAACAAACAGTTCCAAGTAGCACGGGCTATGGTGAGCCCGTACTACCCTAACCTAACCTAACCTAACCTAACCTAACCTAACCTAACCTAACCTAACCTAAAATCCTGTCCAATTTGTGTTAATATAGGATAAATGAGAAGAGTGTTGAGTGCCTTGTTACCGAGAGCCCGGCGGTGACGTCCTCATCCCGGAGAAAGTTTGGGGATAATGTGATCAATAGAGTGAATAATGAAGTGTGGGGCAGTGTGAAGGGAAGATCAATATGTGGGTGACAGGGGGGCGGCTACCCCCCTTAGAAACAAGCAACTGTAACCACTACGTTTGACTATCGTTACTTTTGATGGAACGTTTTAATTATCATAAAAAACGTGGTGGTTACTGTGGGTGGGGGGGCTGGGGAGGGGGGGTTATGTCCCACCTGGCGGCACGGGTGTGGTGTGGGTGTGTGTAGAGGCGTCCCACCGCTTGCTGTAGAGGCTTCCTGCTCTGCGGCCTCCGTCGCTGCCTTAGTGCGCTGTTGAGGCGTTGCGAGTGAGGGTAATCCCGCGGCTGGTGCTGGTCACGGGAGCCTGGCTCACTGTGCGGGCTGGGTGCGGCCTGCAGGTGAACTGCGCCAGTTGCCCGCCCCACACCCTGGCCTGGGGGTCCGTACGCTGCTGGCTGGTCCACGCCCTGCCCCGCCCCGCCCCGCCCCACACCCTGGCCTGGGGGTCCGTACGCTGCTGGCTGGTCCACGCCCTGCCCCGCCCCGCCCCACACCCTGGCCTGGGGGTCCGTACGCTGCTGGCTGGTCCACGCCCTGCCCCGCCCCGCCCCGCCCCACACCCTGGCCTGGGGGTCCGTACGCTGCTGGCTGGTCCACGCCCTGCCCCGCCCCGCCCCGCCCCACACCCTGGCCTGGGGGTCCGTACGCTGCTGGCTGGTCCACGCCCTGCCCCGCCCCGCCCCGCCCCACACCCTGGCCTGGGGGTCCATACGCTGCTGGCTGGTCCACGCCCTGCCCCGCTCCGCCCCGCCCCACACCCTGGCCTGGGGGTCCGTACGCTGCTGGCTGGTCCACGCCCTGCCCCGCCCCGCCCCGCCCCACACCCTGGCCTGGGGGTCCGTACGCTGCTGGCTGGTCCACGCCCTGCCCCGCCCCGCCCCGCCCCACACCCTGGCCTGGGGGTCCGTACGCTGCTGGCTGGTCCACGCCCTGCCCCGCCCCGCCCCGCCCCACACCCTGGCCTGGGGGTCCGTACGCTGCTGGCTAGTCCACGCCCTGCCCCGCCCCGCCCCGCCCCACACCCTGGCCTGGGGGTCCGTACGCTGCTGGCTGGTCCACGCCCTGCCCCGCCCCGCCCCACACCCTGGCCTGGGGGTCCGTACGCTGCTGGCTGGTCCACGCCCTGCCCCGCCCCGCCCCACACCCTGGCCTGGGGGATCCGTACGCTGCTGACTGGTCCACGCCCTGCCCCACCCCGCCCCGCCCCGCCCCACCCCACACCCTGGCCTGGGGGGTCCGTACGCTGCTGGCTAGTCCACGCCCTGCCCCGCCCCGCCCCGCCCCACACCCTGGCCTGGGGGTCCGTACGCTGCTGGCTGGTCCACGCCCTGCCCCGCCCCGCCCCACACCCTGGCCTGGGGGTCCGTACGCTGCTGGCTGGTCCACGCCCTGCCCCGCCCCGCCCCACACCCTGGCCTGGGGATCCGTACGCTGCTGACTGGTCCACGCCCTGCCCCACCCCGCCCCGCCCCGCCCCACCCCACACCCTGGCCTGGGGGTCCGTACGCTGCTGGCTAGTCCACGCCCTGCCCCGCCCCGCCCCGCCCCACACCCTGGCCTGGGGGTCCGTACGCTGCTGGCTGGTCCACGCCCTGCCCCGCCCCGCCCCACACCCTGGCCTGGGGGTCCGTACGCTGCTGACTGGTCCACGCCCTGCCCCGCCCCGCCCCACGTCGCCTCACGCCAAGTATCCTCTCATTACCCTCAAGAAAACTGTAATCCCAGGGATTAACAGCTGCCGGTAAACCCAGCTAGGAGCACCTGTCTCGTTATTCACGCCGAGGGTTACTCGCTATCCTGGCTACGGGCCTAGGAGTTAGGATAACAGCGAGGGGGAGGGATCAGTCTCTCTCTTCTGTCTGTCGATGTCTGCCTCTCTCTTCTGTCTGTCGATGTCTGTCTCTCTCTTCTGTCTGTCGATGTCTGCCTCACTTTTGTACCTGTCTTCCTCTCTCTGCCTCTTTTTTTATTTATAAATAAAATAAATAAAAATTTACCTTTTTTAAAAATTCCTTACCGGGAGCCGGTCGGCCGAGCGGACAGCACGCTGGACTTGTGATCCTGTGGTCCTGGGTTCGATCCCAGGCGCCGGCGAGAAACAATGGGCAGAGTTTCTTTCATCCTATGCCCTTGTTACCTAGCAGTAAAATAGGTACCTGGGTGTTAGTCAGTTGTCACGGGCTGCTTCCTGGGGGTGGAGGCCTGGTCGAGGACCGGGCCGCGGGGACACTAAAGCCCCGAAATCATCTCAAGATAACCTCAAGATAACCTCTTCCCCGTGACTGGTAGAGCTGTCTATTCTCTCTGTTCTCTGTCCCTCCGTTGTTCTTTGTATAACTGAGAACAGGGTTCATTAGGGCTAACAGTTGAAGTAGCTGGTGAAACTGCAAGCAAGAGCTGTTATCCTACCTCAGCTCATCTGATGCCTGCCCTCAGATTTTTGTTGTAAGGAATTATCTGTATTTCAATATAAGTAACAGTTATATAAGGAATAATATAAACCAGTAGCGAGCCGAGTGTCAGAGCCTTCATGAGATCAGTTGACCTGATCTCCCGTGTATCAACCTCTTGAGCCAACAGGTTCCAGATCATTGGTCTGGAACACGTTACACTGTCATAGAAGAGTCACACTTCATGCCAAAATATGTCTCTTTCATCTCTGAACTCAAGGTGTTCGGCACCCATGTGCATGCCTCTCCAATTTGCAATGTGTAGTCTAGTTATCTTCAGCGCCTGTGTTTTCTCAGCCACAAATGTGATGGACCTCGTTGGTGGCGTTCCCTCCAAGAGGAGCCCCAAGGCGTGTGCTGTCCTCAGGGTTGGTTATATGAATATCAGGCTAAACAACCCTTATTCGCTCTATTATGTGCTGGTTGGTGGAGGTTATTTCGCACTTGGAAGAGTTCAGGGTGAGGCCTACACTTGCTCCTTGTAAGTCTATGGAGTAAGGTCCCCTTGTGCAGGCGATGAGTCACAATAACGTAGCTAAAGTATGTTGACCAGACCACACACTAGAAGGTGAAGGGACGACGACGTTTCGGTCCGTCCTGGACCATTCTCAAGTCGATTGTGAATGAGAAAATCGACTTGAGAATGGTCCAGGACGGGCCGAAACGTCGTCGTCCCTTTACCTTCTAGTGTGTGGTCTGGTAATCAAGGTCCCCTTGTCTGAGGAGCCAGCTAGAGTACCATCGTCCAAAAACCAAATGTTGAGCTCACTGGACAGGTTATCGGTGACCTCCTTGATGACTAGGCAGAGAAGAAATGGAGCAAGGGGGTCACCCTGTTGGACACCTTCTTGTGATTCAATTTCGTGTTCCCCGAATAACAGAGTTAGACTCTTGCTGTAACATGAGTTTACAAACGGGTAGAGGGAAGGAAAATAGCGATGAACCGCACTGAGTACTGCATTACTTCTAATCAGATTGAAAGCATTTTTGAAATCCAATTTTATCAGTGCTTTTTCATCCGTAATGTTGACAATGTAGGCTCTAGCTGCATGAGCCGCTGCCTCACACCCTTGGGGAATGCCAAACCCAAGCTGTTTTGGCTTCAGCATGTTTCCTGCTGCCTGGCTAACTGTTCTAGCAGCAGCCTTAGCGACGAGACGCCGGAGTGAATTGCCCACAGCTGTTGGTCTGATTCCTCCTTCCTCTTTCCTCAGGGCACATAGGGTAGCGCCAAAAGAGAGAGAGAGAGGTCGTATGGTCTCTGGTATGTTGCCAGCTAGACATGTGTTGGAGAATCTAGTTAGTTCCACCAGGAGGCGCTGTGTAATGTCTCCCAGTGCGGGGCTGAACATTTGTATCGCGCCAGTTTATTGGTGGAACTTGTCTTGTTTTCCATGTGATGATGCCAACCCTTCGTGCACAAGTGGTAGAACCAACAGCCACTAGGCATGGCACGTACAAAATATGGACTGTTGTACCCCCAAATAGGTTTGTAATATTTGTATTATATTTGTAACACTAGCAACTATGGTGACACTGTAATGGTTGCTGTAACTCGTAACCCTGTATGTGCTGTAATAATTGTATTAATATAACCCCTAAAAAAATGGGAAGAGTCCGCCTTCGGAGCAGCTAATGCTCAGGCCAGTTATCAGGGTAAGGTGAGGGGGGAAATGACCAAGATGTTAAAAATATATTTACAATTCTTATAAACCAGATGGAAGATCATGTTAATGATAAACAGTTAATGCCGCCACCACTCCTCCTGGAACTTTGATAATTAGACTAATTGACTCTGCAGGAGACCGGCCAACTAGTACTAAGTGTTAAGTGTTAGGGGGAACTTTGATGTTTTAATACTTAACGGGTGAATGGAATTCCTTTTAAATTAACTTGATGAATTACAAGGGGGAAGTATTTACTCTTAAAACTGTTCAACAGATCACAGGTGAAGTTCTAAACAACTCAAGTTCTAGAATTAATTAAGGGAAAACTATATAAAATATACTGGAGGTAATTTACAGTAACTTTATTTGATGAAATGCAAATGAATTAACCCTTAGCTAGTATGATATCATATTAATTAGCGGCATCAGATGTGCGAAGTCGGCTGACACCTAGCTGACAGGTTAACAGCTGTCGCATCTTCCAGTAAGACGTCTTGGTCTGATAATGACAAAGTGAGTACCAACCAAGCAAGCTCTCAATTATATTGTAAGTATTGCAAGCTATATGGACATACCATAGATAAATGTGGAAAAGCCCAATACAAAGGCTATAGTGAAACTCCTAAACCCAAACCGACTTCTAAATGTTTCTATACATATACAATACTGTATATTCCATATACAGTATTGTATATGGAACATATACAATACTGTATTGTATATGTTCCATATACAATACAGTTCTGTACTGTATATGGAATTCCATATATTCTGTTCCATATCTGTTCCATATACATTATTGTATATGGAATACAAACTGTACAGGGAACTCAAACAGACAATTACCATTGTCAACTGTTTCATCAGCCATTGGTCTAGCGTGGTGGTCAAACTCTCACAAGTCAAGTCTGGCCTCGGGCCGGGCTTGGGGAGTAGAAGAACTCCCAGAACCCCATCAACCAGGTATCAACCAGGTATCAATGTACATAGCAATAGCAATGTTCCATTTACCACTGTTATGCCCCAGTGAAGTTGATATACCTCGGGGCATCTCACAAGGTCTGGCGGAACCATTTATCTTTCTCGAAGGAAACGCTAAGCGGCCCTCAAGACCGTGTTTGTGTGCCAGAAAGGCCAGAATTGGCGCTGGGCGCTTGGTCATAATGTATATCATTAGTTAATTGATATTTACTGAAGGAGTTTGGTCAGGCTAAGGTCTTTGAGGAACGCACGGTGTAGT